CTCTCTCTCTCTCTCTCTCTCTCGCGTCACGACTATCCGTTTGGTCTAGCGCCTATTTTCTAGCGGGAGCTTTTATCCCCGCCTCTTGCCGTCGCGCACGTACACAGGTACGTGTCTATATACGTATACGCGTTATTCCGCGTGGGGTGGTACTTCCGAAATGCCTTCACGTTTGGTCCGGGTGCCTCGCGGTAGCCCGGGCTCCTTCGTCGCCGTGCCCTCGTCCTCGTGCTCGCACCGCACTCGATACTTCGCAACGCCAGATACTCGCAGAGATGCCCGTTTATCTCTACTCCTCCTCCGGTCTAATCCTTCAGGATCACATGTAGGTTCGCGAGCCGATTACTCGCTGAGCCGCTTGACGCATCGCCGAGGCTCTCATTCGCTCGCGCATTGAAAGATTTTGGAAATTCGGTAGAAAGTTGACTTAACCGCGAGGCGTTCTCCAGGACAACGTGCTGCAGTTCCGTCCAAGTGCATGGTGTGCAACATTGGCGCCCCTTGGATTCACGATTCGGTATCGACTGTTTCCCCCCTTCCCCTCTTCGCGCTCGTCACTACACAGCTGCTCGCTACTTAAACTTTCCTGCTCCCTCCCCTCGCTGTAGAATTCTCGGCCCTACGTCGTGTAACCGCGTACCTAATGTCCCTTTCAGCTCGCTATCCTTAATTTTATATATAGCCCGCCACGCCCCCGCGCGCACCGCAGTGTTCACCTCTTCCTTCCTGCGTCCTTTATATTACATCAGTCCTTACGCTCCGGCGTATTGGACCGACTTCGTATTGCGTGGCGACCAAGCGAGAAATAAAACTCTAAACATCGCCGCGCTTATTCAGCACGGCGAGAGGCAAGAATAGAAAAAAAAGATGCGCGAATCGCGCTTTTGTCCGTGGCCTTGTGCGAAAAATTGAAAAGTGGCGTCAATATAAACGCTCGTGAATATTCGTTCGTTCAGGTGAAAGCACCAAACTCCGGCCACGTAGTTAGTCCTCAACATTCTTAACACTTTGGTCTTTAAACACGAATATTTAAACTTTTAACGTAAAATACACAGAGTTATTCAATATATATATGTGTATATATATATATATATATATATATATATATA